AGCTCAATTTTCTTGATTAAGAAAAGTTGTATAAATATACAAACACACCCAACATTCCATCAAAACCAGATTATTAGACCTAAAAACTAGCATACCTAGATGTGAAGAGATATTACAAACCTTCATCTGCTTTTGGTATGAATGTAACTGTAATTAAATCTGGAATTAGATCTGATAAGATAATTACATTTCACCTGATTAGGCAGTTCTTATGACCCTGAGCTATCATGTGGAAGAAAAGCAAAGTAATTTTTGCAAGATTCCAGCTGAACATTTTAGGAGGTTAAAAAACAAATAAATAAATACGTAAATTTAGAAAGCTATTTCTAGTTTGGTAGTTTGATTTCAAATTTCTTTTGTTTTAGTTCCAAATTAAAGTGGATCTATTTATCATCCCTGACCCAGATGTTATAGTCATCTCTTTCTTGGAATTTACTGACAGGTTTGAGACTTTTTCCAACCATAAACTTTTTAGAACTAATTAATGACATGTACCTTTTCTAGAATTGCATGCAATTTAAACATCTACTATTCAATACAACATGAGAAAGCCAGAAATGCCATGCCATTGTAGCCTAGCCACTTCATTACTCTGACTAGCACCAAGGGACAGTGAGTTATCATCACTACCACCCTGCTGTTGTTATAGAGTGTTTTTAACCTGCAAAACGCTTTTTGCTTCACAACACAATATGGATTAGTTAGCTCTATTTAAATGACTAAGGAGCTAAAGGGGGAAAAAAAGTTTGAGGTCTGAAACAGGCAAAAACAATTAGCAAATCCATTCATTTGGATCTTGTTTATGAAAGTATTAAAGGCAGAAGCAGAACGTTGAGCAGTGCAAGAAACTTGACTGAAAGTTAAGAAACTGGAGTTTTACTCTAATTTTGCCCTTCACTAGCTCTGAGATGTGGCTTTTCAGTTAAGCAGTGTCCTCAATTCCAATTACAATCTCTGACAGCTCCTATTTCAGACCTCACAACACATTTTTTTTAATGTCAAGATCCTGTCCCCTACCTCTACTACCACCTAATTTCTCCTGGACATGCTCTTCACCCCCAGTTCCTGGATTCTTTCCCATTCTCTTAAACCATTCCTCTGGTGCTAGCCTTTCATTCGTAGTCAGAATGGTTAACCTTTTCAACAATGCTTCATCTCTGAATCCCTTTCCGCTTTGTTCTTCAGATGTTTCACCTGTTAATTCACAGCCCAAGCAACAACCCTAATCTTTTCCTAATCCAAGCCAGAGTTCTGCTAGAACTTCTAAAACCATGTTCTGCATCTACCACAAATTCATCACCTGGGTTTTCACAGCTTCCGTGATGCCAAAGATTCACAGATCTTTGTATCTAGCCCCCATTTCTTCCATGCACTGCAATCTGCATTACCAGTTGCCCACTGAGCATTTTAAACTAGATGCTCTGGAGGCATGCTAAACCCAACATGTCCAAAACAAAACTCATTATCTTTCCTCCTGTTGTTCCTCTTTCCTAATTTCCACCCAAGTCACCACCATTCTTCCAGCTGCCAGGTTTGTAACCATGGAATGGTTTATAACCCAACTCCTCACTCTCCTCTCTCCATATACATGTATCCTTCTCTGTACTCACATACCTGCCACCTTAGTTCAAGTGCTCATTACCTGTCACCTAGAAATCTAGCAATCATCTGCACAGATGCCCTCAGAGTCTCTGCCCCTATACTACATGGTCCTAGAATGCAACTAATTGTTGCTCGATGTGTTTCATTGCTGCTATTGATTACCAGAGGAAATTACATAATCTAGCTTGTTATTGTTCCAACTTTTCATTTTTCACACAATACTAAGATGTTAACAGGCTATATATCACCTGGAAACTCAAGTTGGGTCCATTTCTCTTTTATGATATCAAAAATGGGCTTCCTGACAGCTATTATCTTTACTATAAAGCATTTACCTTTCCTTTCCAGAAATCTGACTGCCGGATGAGTGTTAAAATAAACTGTGTGTGGATGATGTTTGTACATCACACAGTCAGACCTTTAATTGATTTTATCCGTTTTTCATACTTCCTATCATATCAGTCTGAACTAGTCTTATGACTTTAGTGACAAATATATTTACTGAAAAGCACTTCTACATCAGGGGTATGGCCAGTTGAATCAGAATAACAGTAAATCTCATTTCTCTGGTGCTTTGTTTCCAAAGCACTTGGCTCCCAACTCTTCAAGGTAGACAGTCAGATATTATCTCCCTAGAAAAGGAAACTGAAGGACGTAAGTTATGTACCCAAACACACAGCTGTTAAGTGCCTGAGGTCCAATTTCAACACATCCTCAAATGCAGCAAGTCCCCAGACCCTCTCAGAAAAAAATAATTTACCTTGTAAACAGTTCAGTATAAAGTATTTTGAGAGGAAAATGAATAGGAAAGGACAAAAGTGGAAAGAAAACTCATTCCCCTCCTAAAGATGCAGGTGAAATATCAAGTCCTCTCTCATCCAACAGTACTTTGTACTCCTGTGTATATGTCATATCCTAATTCATTTCTATTTAGCCCTCAGTACACATGGAGATTACACAGAATTAGAATAAATGGAATTGAATGCTGCGTAAAATTTTAATCTTAAAAGTTCTACCTATGATGCTCGTTGTAAACCCTGAATCCTATTGTTATATCAATATCACAAATTCCATGAAGCCATTGTTGAATCACGAAGAAGTTTTATTAACAACCTGGGAAGTCCCAGTGTGAGACCACGCATGTGAAAGAGCACTTGTCAGCAAATGCACACCTTTTTATTCCCTATTCCTCATTCGAACTTCCTTCCCATTTCCCCATTTGCTGGGTTCTGCAGAAGTTACAGCCTATCTGAAGTGCCTAATTTCCCCTAGTGAGTCTCTGACCCCTAATTACATCTCCCACTCCCCAGCCCATAGTTGGGACCCCTTTTGATGTTAATCCATATTCAGATGCAATATCTACATATTCTACACCATGAACCCCACAAGCCCTAATTTGAAACAGTCTGCTTTAAGAAACTAATGAAATTGGGGCATATGTGACCACAGTTTAATTTCTTAAAGTAGCTTAACATGTATTGCTTGGGAGTTCAGTCCAAAACTAGGCCCCCCCTTAGTTCAGAATTGGCTCAGCTTGGGATTTAGTGGTACAGCATTATTATTAACCCTTCAAAGGTGTTCCCAAAGGGGTGACAATCAACCATGACTGGTCAACGTCCTAGGAGGTGGGTGGGTTACTTAGATCACTCAGTCCACAGGGGCCCCTATCACCCTGCCCCAGTCTTGGAAGTCTGTCTCTACCTAAACCTGAGTAGGATAAAATCAATTCAGGCCTGAGGTGGAGTTTGACCAAGATAAAAAGATACAATGCAATCTCATTATCAGAGATCTCCTTCTGAAGAACTTTGGTCAGAAGGCTGGCAGGGAGGGGGGAGCTCTGAGTTTCCAAGACGCATATTACCAAAGAAATCATTTTTAACATCATCTATTAGTACTAGTACTCCTATCCAAAGGATAGGCTTTCCAAATAGCCAGGGTGAGGAAATGCTAAGATTCTAAAATCTAAATTCCAAATAATTTTCATTCATCTACATCCAGAAAAAGAGTAGAGAGGTTAGAGGGGAGGGACGGTTGAAGCAGTTTGATACAATAGAACCTGAATCTAGTAAGTGATAACAGAATAAGATCTAGGTTTCTATGCGTATGCTTTCAACCACCTACTCCTCCAATCTTGTAAGTGAGAAGACCTGGAGGAGGCCAATACTAATGTCCACCCTCCTCCACCTTCTGTTGGATACTATCTAATCAACCAACATTTACTAAGCCCACTACATACCAAGCATTGTAGATGCAAAAAGGACAGTCCTTGCCTGCCAGGAGCTTCCTCCTAAGGTCCACATACATCAAATGTGTATCAAGGGCTCTGTCCTGGGTCCTCAGCTTAAAAATTCCGGTGGGTTCATCTCTATGCCTATCATCTAACCCTCATCTCTCTCCTGGGTTCCTGTCCCACATCATCAAATGTCCACTGGACACCTCCATTTGGATATCCAGTAGGCAACTCAACATGTTCACAACAGAACCCTTCAACTTACCCACTCTTTCTCCTTTCCCCTATGTCTCCTGAAGATACTTCTATCATTTTAGTCACTCAGATTTTCAACCATGAGTCTCTTTCACTCTGCCTTCACACCCAAACACATACAAAAATTTGCTGACCTATTCTTATCTTTGTCTATATTTGTTATCACCTATTAGTCTCATTTTCAGTCTTTCCACTCTCCAATACATCCTCTACACAGATGACAAATTGATACAGTACAGGTCTGATCATGCCACTCTTCTGCTCAAGAAATTTCAGTAGTTCCCTACTACTTATAAGATAAAAAACTCTTCTGTTTAGCATTTAAAGCCCATCACAATCTGGCTTTTTTTCCCAGATTTATTTCCTTCATATACTCCATATTTTAACCAAACTACATATGTAACATATGTAGTCTGTGATATGTCTCCATATATAACACTCCATTTCTTGCTTCTGTATCCATGAATGGACTATTTTCCCTCTTATTATGTCCACCTCTTTGAATCCCTAGTTAGCTTCAAGGGTGAGCTTATGTATCACCTTCTACACAAAATCCTTCCACACCAACTTCTTCCCCATCCAGTTGTTAGCACTTCCCAACTAAAACTTATTTTGTATTTACTTACCTGGATACCTCTGTATGCCTTTGGTAAAATATAAGCTCCTTCGAAGGCAGGCACTTTCATTATGGTCTGTGATAAAACTTTGCTAGTTATGTATCACTGGCAGGAATTTCCAACATCAGTATTAGGTGAATCACATGGGGGTTTTGGAAAAGAAGGTACTCTAGTATGCTAATTTTCATCATGTCTGGTTATAACAACAACAATGTATCCTTTCGTCATGGCATCATTTGTCAGGTAGGAAAGGCGATTTGAATTACAGAGACTGATTTTTTTTTCTTATTTGAAAGGTGTCCTCGAATGGCCATTCTGGACAAAACTGGTTGTGGTGGCCATTGGCTTTACAGGAGGCCTTGTCTTCATGTACGTACAGTGCAAAGTCTATGTGCAGCTGTGGCGCAGGCTGAAGGCCTACAACCGTGTGATCTTTGTGCAGAACTGCCCCGACACTGCCAAAAAGTTGGAAAAGAACCTCCCCTGTCATGTGACCACAGACATCAAGGATGCCGTAGTAGTGCCCGTGTCACAAATGGGTACAAATGTACTGCTGACCACAGAGGGTGGAACCCCAGAAGTCATACCAGTCTGATGGAACCAGCTGACCTTGTTTTACCAGAGTCTGAAATGCTTTCTAGCCCTCAGTGACTAGAGAGCAGAAGTGATCTTGCATTGTTTCCCCACCCTAACCCTAGCTACCAGCTCCTTACCTACCTTCCAACAAAACAAAAGAAAACTGCATCAGATGAAATGGGACAAGTACAGCAAATGACCAGGATCCCACAAAGCTGGGCGGGGGGGGGGGGGAGAAGATGTGGACACATATGTATAAAGACTGTTATAAGAATCCTTTCTGAAAGACAATGCAAGCTCTTTGTGGCAAGGTGCGCTTTTAACATAAATCCTCACTGGTCACAGTATCGAGAGGAAAGTGGGGGAAGAATGAAGACTTGAATTTCAATGTGTATTTTTACTTCTAGGGTCTTTTCTGACAAAGATTTCATCTTCAAAACTGACGGGGAATAGCAAACACATCTGGCTCAAAATCTTAAAAGTTGCTTGCATTAGTCCTAAATCAAATCAGGAAAAGACTTTAAATGAGGATGGGCTACATGATTTCTAAGGTCCCTTCCATTAGTAAAATTCTATAGTTCTATAAAGGATGCATATTTTTATGAGACTTCACACTTTAACAGTAAATAGATTTTTACGGCTACCCTGGAGCCTGATCGTTTTGACAGCTGCATGAGTTAGAAACAGATGCAATGCACATTCAACTGTATACAATGAAACATTTTTGAGAAATGATATTCAAATATTTATGAAGAACAGAGTTTAAAATATTTTTTTGTTTTATCTTTCATGCAAATGCCAAACAAAATTCCAAGCCAACTACTTGGTTCTATGTCTTCTCTGCTGCCACCAAAAACAGAGATGACTATGCCTTGGATTTCAATACAGTGTCTGAATATTTTTTAAAACAGAAGCTTCACTGCTTATTGTATTAAAAGGATTCACAAGCATAAAATTCTTACAAAGCATTAAATTTAGTTCTATCCAAGTACCCTGCTTGAATGGTTAAGGAAAAGTGCTATCCCTCAACAGGTTAAAAACCAAATGCAAGTTGCAGTATTATATAAAGGGGCAGAAATAACCAACTTCTGCTTCTCTTAAGCATCTGGGAGTAGAAAATCCAATTTAAAGTTGCTTTTGATTCTACATCTAAAAGCCTAAAATTATGAGGCTTTATATTGTCTATTAAGTAGTGCCCAAATAAGAAATTGTTAGGGCAGTGATGACAGAACATCTAGACCCTTTTAAAAGACCAGTGTCTCTTGCTTTGCTCTGTTGGTTTTGGTGAATCCCACTCTGAGAAAATGGAGCTCGGCAGGCTTGCCAGCTCAGTTGTTATAATGTTCTTTGCATATTCATGTAAAACTATAGTGTGAATGACATTGCAGTGAGCTAGACTACTGATCATAGGTACAATGGTGTGATCAAAGAAAGATGTCCTACATAAAAAAAAAAGGTATGTGATTTGCTTTTGTTAATTGTCATATTTATTATTGTGGCAAGATAGCCATGGTGGCCATAAGAATCAGTGCATGGTTTGCACAAGTCTGGTTATCATGCTGATGCAATTTGTAATTTCTTGAGTCTCTTCTGTGCTCTTGTGGTTCACGAATTTTGTCACAGGAAGAGGAAAACAAAACCCCTTCCAGGGAGGAGATGGACAATGTTAACTGGTAGTAGCTATCTCCAGAGTCCAAACAATCCCAATTTTTAGAAATACTAAGTATGATGATTTGTCACTTTTTTTTAATGTATTCATGTATATACACAGCAGCAAAATGTAATGGTTTTCCAATTGTCACAGGACCAAGTTCGTATAAATCATTGCTCTGCAAGGTGGTGTGGAGGGTATGAGATGAGGAAGCAAGCAGATAAAATAATATGGGTGGAAATGAAATGCACCAACTATGGACAGACACAAACATGATCCATTGCATTTTTAAAAATCCTAAGCCTTTAAATAACTAAAATCTTGTAATTAAGTTACTCCAAAATTTCTGATCCAAAGCTTTAAGGTGAATCCATGACTTTAACACTAGCTTTGAGAGGCTTAACTGTGGGTTTCGCACAAGAGTATTAATTAATCTTGCTTCAATTTTCTAACTTGTTTTCTTGGGCTTTATATAAAATAGTCCATTTTTTTTCAAACAGATTAACAATGATAAAAGACATTTCCAGAAAAATATTTCACCTGAAAAACATTTTGAATATCACTGTTTTCACCTATAGGGCACAGATTATTTATGTAATAACCACCCCAAACAAATTTAAAGCAATCTCTTTACAAACTTAACCATCACAGACATATGCACAATCTATATACCATGGTGGTCAGTCAAGGCAGTAAAATGAGGTCTCATTGATTGGGGGCTATGCTTAATGCTAAGAAAATGATTCCCAAAGTGGGGAGAGAGGGCACTGAGTAGTATCTTAATAGGAAAAAGATGGCAAGTTGTTAACAAACTTGATTGGATTTAAAGTTACTGTACCAAGAAAACATAGCAAAAGGTGGTAACCCAATAATTTTGTTCTCTCTATGCTGCACTTTCCTTAACCTCCAAAGTATTTCTGATTCAGATTCTTTGTGCAATTGTCATGCAATCTCTAATCATCTTTCAGTCTGAAAGAACTACTTAAATTAAGCATCTAGTGTTAAAAGTTTATTTTTTTGTATTTTATATGGCAATGATGCATATAGCCCTTCCAATGGAGGGTTCCACTCTTTTCTGCACTCAATAGTTCTGGAGACTGAAAATAATATTGCATATATATATATATATATATAGTCCTAGCAAGGAGCATTTAAAAAAGTTCATGTATTTATATGGATATAAAGTAAAATGCAACTAAACTGAAATAACCAGCTATCAGATCTCATTCAAAACCCTGATTCCTTTCAGTTGGGAAATAATCATTTTGGATCTTATTAATCATATAAACCCATAGAGTTGTACCACTAATGCATATAATAGAAAAATTAAATGGATGACTCTTTTCTTTCTATGAGATTCTGGATCATGAATTTAGTAACAAGAATGAACCTCCAAAAAGCTGTGGAGCCTAAAAGTTAATTCATGCAATGTAACAGAAAAACACACAGACAGTGGGGAGAATAGAGTGGAAGAAGGGAGATGGGGGGGGGGGAAGAGGGAAGAAGATAAAGGCTGCTGAAGGAAAGAATCTAAATGATTTATCTTTAAGAAGGCTCCAGGACTAACTCAGTCTAAAATGCACTTTAACAACATATAGTTAGAACTCCAGATAGATAAACAGCATTGGTCACATAGCCACCTTCTGCAAACACTTGTGATTTTTTAATTTGTTTTGTTTTTGCAAAAGGTGCCTTAAGTACCTACAACTGTCTATATTTTGTTTGGTTGGGGAAATGAGCTCACTATAGTGAGGAAAATATTAGGAGGAAATAACGCTGACTTACAAAACATGGATTATTTCAGTTGTCTATATTGACATTAATTTTATTTTTTCTTGATTCTCTAAAGTTAAGATTTTGGGGGAGAAATAAACCTTTTAACTTTTTTTAAAATTATGATTCTTCAGGGTTTACAGTTTAACCAAGAAGGGTGAAAGCAGTTTTATTCTTAAATCAGCCCAATGGTGCTATTTCACATACCCACAAAACTGAATGGAAGTACTGTTATTTTGGGCTACAGTGTTTCCTCCACATCTGAAGAAAGCCCATTCTGAAAGTGAACACTGCACTTACACAAATAAAAGAATATTCTGGTTGTGTGCAATTCTTGAGATTGGGCATTTGTGTTATTTTGGTTTTACCCAATTATCTTGCATAAACAATTAAATGTTTTGTGAACTAATGTGTATTAAGTAAGAAAATGAAGGACAAGAAAATATCTGTGGAAGAAAGTTTGTATATTAAAAAAGTGACCCAAACATGTGAAAGTTTTCTCAAATTTTTTTGCTTAATTTAATCAAATTTGTTTGTTCACATTTCTACATGTTCTTACCTGAAACATTTGAGCAATCCTTGGGCTCCTCTCAGTGGAACATCGGTTTCCAGAAAGAGAGGAGTACAAGAGGTAGAGGAAAAACACTATATTAATCAGTATAAAGGGAAGGGAGAGGTGAATTTGGGGAGTCAGGTCATAGCCTAAATCACTTAAAATCAAATACACAATTTCAGTGATAAAAATACTTGCTAACCACAAGCCACTCTCTTATTTCAAAACCTGAAAGTTTACTCAAAACATGAAAAGTTTCTGCATTTGGGGAAAGCATGCCTGAGTAATCTACAAAAATTAATAAAGGTATATAAAATAAGCATGCTATTGAGATCGTACCAATAAATATGATTTTGGGGGATTTTTTAATGGCTTAAAAAATTAAGTCCTTATTAGTACTAGGAAAGAATGTTTTCTCATAAAATGTAGATTTAGTTTAGAGCCTAGAGACAAAAAAGACATTTCTCTGGAGAAGTAGGAACAATTAATTGAGTAAGCTAGATTCATGCATTATAGCTATATAATGGATTGAGAATTGGATGTTTATCTCCAACTCCAGTGGCTTACTACTAACTTCAAAATCAAATATGGTCAAACATTCACTTTAGGAAAATCACCTTAGCAGCTCAGTGGAAGATGGATTAGAGTAGGGAGAGACTTGAGACACTGAGACCAGTTATACTGATTGTTCAAGTGAGAACTAATGAGGACCTGTATTAGAGCAGTATCTACCTGAATGGAGAGGAGATATACTAGAGAGAAAAGAAATGAGAGTCTGGCAGCTTCCATGGTTCTGAGTGCTGGTGTCTGGCATGTGCTGAGGCCTGTGGGGTGTTTCTGCATTTCCTTGGGGCTGCACTGCAGCAAGTGGAGTTTGACCACTGAAGATTGCCTGTTTTTGCTCCTGAACCTGGTCATCAATTGATCAATGGCATTTATTTATAAAATGGACAGGGTTGGTGGGGTGGAAATGGAACAGCTTTTGCCCATGGAAGAACAGTGAAACTATGTCTCAAGCAGAAAATAAAAACATGGTCAGAGCTTTATTAGCACTGTTTTAAGTAAGCTAACAAGCACCGATAAGAGTGGTAGTCTCTTTGTAATTTTTCCTTAGAAAATTTTAGAAATCTATTCCACTGTAGCTGGGAATAATCAAAATAATGACCCTGCTTTTCAACTATTCCTACTATCTCTCTCCTCTCTCCCACACTCACACATACTTTTTTTAAAAATGCTGATAATCATCCGGGGGGGGG